GAAAAGACAAGTTGAGCAATATGTTGGAACAAATGATGGTTTTTCAGCCTCCCACAACACCAAATCATGGAAAGATTTCAGACGTTGCCTGTATAAATAAAATATGAAAATCAAAGTTCATATTTCCCTTTCTGCAAGTCATGTATACCTTTGTTTATGTGAAAAATTGGAAATTAAAAAGAGTTAAGATTAGCTATTTTCCCATAGTAACGTGTCTGATTTTCATTGTCAATGACAGAGAAAAAAAGCGAAGTTCAAAATGCGTTCATTATTTCATTAAAATCAATGACTCAGTCCCCTTCTGTTCTTATTTTTCTTACCTAGAGCTATTTGACCCTCTTGTGCATAATCCAGATCTGTTTAACCCTCAGCTCATGTATCTTCCATATCCTTGACTGCTCTAACCTTCACTTCCAAACCAGATCGAAAAATCTTAGTTCAGAGTTTTCATTTATGCTAAGTTTATAGACATAACAATGTGACTTAACTTCAAATAAATGTCAGTATCATCTTAGACTGAATTAAGAGAAGTATAGGCCCAGTGTGGTGGCTCATGCCTGTAATCCCAGCACTTTGGCAGGCCAAGGAAGATGGATTGTTTGAGCCAAGGAATTTGAGACCAGCCTGGGCAACATGGTGAAACCCTGTCTCTACAAAATATAAAAAATTAGCTGGGTGTGGTGGTGTGTGCCTATAGTCCCAGCTACAGGAGGCTGAGGTGGAAGGATCGCCTGTGCCTGGGAGGTTAAGGCTGCAGTGAGCCACGATGGAGCCACTGAAATTTAGTCTGGACAACAGAGGACATCCCAAGAAAGAAGAAAAAGAAGACGACGACGAAGACAAGGACAAAGAGGAGGAGGAGGAGGAGAGGAAGAAGGGAAAGAAGGAGAGGAAGAAGGAGAGTAGTCAAAAAAGAAAGATGCTGCCCACTTCACCTTTTTTTTTTTTTTTTGGAGACAGTCTCATCTGTCACCCAGGCTGGAGTGCAGGGGCGCAATCTTGGCTCACTGCAATCTCTGCCTCCCGAGTTCAAGCAATTCTCCTGCCTCAGCCTCCTGAGTAGCTGGGCGCCTGCCACCACACCCAGCTAATTTTTATATTTTTTTAGTAGAGACAGAGTTTCACCATGTTACCCAGGGTGGTCTCAAACTCCTAAACTCAGTCAATCCATCTTCCTTGGCCTCCCAAAGTGCTGGGATCACAGGCATGAGCCACCGCTCCTGGCCCCACTTTACTTTCACCAAAAAAAAAAAAGCCACAAATCTAAAATACTACACATGTATGCCTCTTAAAAATTTTAGGCATTCAGTATAAGTTGCCTATTTCTTCTACTCCTGAGTTCAGAAGCAGTTGAAAAATAAAACACAGATCAGTAGACAGACAGAGGTTAAACTGTCAGCTTTATTATTGATAAACTAATTGGAGAAAATGACATTAGGTTTGTGAACCAAAGATCCTATTAATACTCCGTGACTGCCAACTCTCTCCTCTGTCCGAATACACATCCAAAGCCTCCCTCTCCACCCAAAGGAAAGTCTGGAGCTGTCTCTAGGGAGGAAAATGGGAAGTTTACAGTCCTTTGATAGAGTTGTTCTACCCAATTAGCACCCCGTCACCACCTCGCCATTAGGTATTTGATTTCTCTGCTGGAAGGAGTGTGTGAGGAGTGAGACTACAGGCCAAGAGTTGTATTTCAATGGAGGTCCTTCAACACAAAAACATAAGACCAGGGAAAGGACTTTCCCTCCCAACAGTGCTCAATTCTATGTCCCCTATGCCATTAGATAAAACTGGAGCATGTTAACAGCATGACCAGGACAGGGAGCTTTGAAGCCCTCTATCAAGAGAAATGGGTGCAAGGACAAGACCACATGGAACTAACACTTTCCTTCAAACATTTGGCCCATATGGCCCTATACTGGAGACATAAAGCCAGTGTCCTCCCCTACATTTCCTGCATTCTGTTCAGTTAGGCAAAGTCACGTGACTAGTCCTGGACAACAAAATGTGAGCAGAAGTGACATGTGTCACCTCCAGGCTAAGCCAATGAGAGGGTCCACTCCTCCGTTCCAGTCTTTCCTCCCCACCCTCTGCAGTAAGTGGGGAGGTCCCACATTCCAGATGATACAGCTATGCAGGTCAGGACCTCCACCAACTTAGGTCCCGAGTGAACAGACAGAAGTTTAAGAGAGCAAAGTCAAGGCCATGGAGAACAATAGGAAAAGAAAGCTCTTGGCCGGGCGCAGGGCTCACGCCTGTAATCCCAGCACTTTGGGAGGCCGAGGCGGGCGGATCACGAGGTCAGGACATCAAGACCATCCTGGCTAACACGGTGAAAACCCATCTCTACTAAAAATACAAAAAAAAATTAGCCAGGCGTGGTGGCGGGCACCTGTAGTCCCAGCTACTCGGGAGGCTGAGGCAGGAGAATGGCGTGAACCCAGGAGGTGGAGCTTGCAGTGAGCCGAGATGGCACCACTGCACTCCAGCCTGGGCGACAGAGTGAGACTCTGTCTCAAAATAAAGAAAAGAAAGAAAGCTCTTGCCAAAGTGTAGAATGAATTCTGAAACCAGAAACACTTTCTACCCCCAAAATAGAAGGCCCATAAAGTGTCTGCTCGGCAAGATTCCTGAGTTGCTGCAGGCCTGAACGCTGGGACCTCTCATTGCTCACCACTTCAAATGGAAGCGTTTCCTCATATTGTCTTGATCCTGTTCTACCACTGCACACTGGGGGTGAGGGATGCATTTTACCTGTCTTCTTAGTTTACTTGTCCCTGAAACAGGATTGGCCATATACAGACCTGACATAGAGACTATTGTGAGATCACTCAGAGATTCTGAAATTGAAGCTCAAAGCCATGATTTGATGTGACTTTAAGTCGTCTCCCTTGCAAAGTGAGTCCTATATTTGGAAAAAGGAGAGCAAAGTTGTGTTGGCACCAGAGAGAGGACTGCGGCAGTGACAGTGCTCACCAAACATTGTGGTTAGGCAAGGCCATGTAACTAGCTCTGACCTGTGAGCTGTGGGCAGAAGTGGCCCCAGTTATCTTCTTCTGTGACCAACACAGTAGAGTGAAGAAACCTTGTGCTGAGATGGCAGAGCCGCAGGTGGAAACATTCTACATAATTGTGTCACAACATGCAGGGCAAAGTTCCTGGAGAGTTACGTAGACCTACAGACTTTGCATGAAAAATAAATTACTATTAAGTTAGAACACTAAGATTTGGAGTTGCTTCTTACGGCAGCATACTACAGTCTATCCTCTCTTATCTAAACCTCGAGAAGCAAAATTTCGAAGCTCTTCGGAGTCTCAGTTTCAATCTCATTTTTCTTCTCACCCTGTGAGCTTCTCTTAGGCAACTGTACATCTGTCCTTCTTCAGTCTCCATCAAGCCATGTGTTTCCTACCCGAATGCTTTTGCATCTGCTATTCTGTCCCAAAGTCCACGTCTCCTCACCTACCTGGGTGCACTTCTAGACTACATTTCCCAGACTTCCTTGCAGTTACTGTAGCCAAAGAATATACAATTCCAGGCAGTGTGATGTGAACACAAGTAATGTATACCACTCCCAGGCCTGCCCACAAGAACACGCTCTGCATTCTCCCCCTTGCTCTTTCCGCTTTCCCACTGGCTGCAGTGGAGACGACCGCCAATGCAGCATTGTTGGCCGTGTGCAGAAGATGGCAGATCTTCTGTCAGAATGGATCCCAGAACGTGGTCCCAGACTGTGTGAAGAAAAGTCACCCCATCTTTCTGTCTTCTTTCCAGTATAGGTACCCGAGCAAAACATACACTTCCACTGTGTTTAACCCAGGATATATGTGGGGGCCTACTATTATAACAGCACAATTGTAACCAAAACTTACACGTGCAGCATTGATCAACCATACCACCACCACCATGCACACACACACACACCCCTACACTCAGACACTCTGCATTGCTCACACCCACTCAATATTCTAGGTCTGTGCATTAAGATGCATCCCTGACTCCTCTCATCCAGTCTAATTTAAGTTGCTCTGTCATTCTTTCTCTCTATACCCTGCTCTTTCTTGTCATTTTACTTATCACAACGCATAATTACATATTAACCTGTGTGTTACTGATTCAGAGTTTGTGTCCAAACATTGATTTGTGTGTTATTTATTTATTTTTTGTGTCCAAAATCAGAACCTTTCGCCTGCCACAATAACATACATAGAGGCTATGCAGTGCTTGGCACACAGCGGTCACCTAACAAATTTTAAAATGTACAGGATGAACACATGAGAAGCCACTATTAAGAGGATACATGTTTTCATCACAAGACCACAGTGCTAGACCAAAAATCTTAGAGAATTAAAATACACACCCTGGGGATTTTTTTTTTTTTAACCTTTATTCATTCAGAATGCATTTCTGGGCCACTCCACAACCAAGAGAAAACCCTAAACTTTTAAGTGGTGTTAACGGACTAAATAATATAATAGTATTGCTCCTATATGTACAAGCAAGAAGTCAATTTTTATTCCTTTCATAAAACCTCTTTGTAAACATTTACCTTTTCTTCCCATCAAAAATGCATTAACAAGATCATGCTTATAGTTAGTCAGCACAAGAAAAAAACGACAATTTATACTGAATTGTTTAAGCCTTGCAGTAGAGTGCTCACAACTCCGAGCTGTATCTGTTAACCTTTTCAATAGCATCCATTATGTGACATTGTCACCAGTTACAGTAAAAGAACTTCACTAATTTTTAAAAGCTAGAATTACCCAAAAAGTTCTGCATTGTAAATAATACCAGGAATATTGCATTGAAGCCTAGGGTGGCAAAATTACTTAAATCTTTTCTATATTTTTTGTGTAATATAGGTAGGAAAAATGAATACTATATAAGAGAATGAAATATATCAAGTTCTTATATTTTTACCTAAGAGGCTATTTATTTTAAGTAATGTTGATTAATATTTAAATGATTAAAAAATAAATCAATGTTAAGTATTAACTGCACAAAATCTAAAAAAAAGACCACATTACATCATACTACATTATATAGATAGATTTAAAGCAGCTAGCTAGAAGCCTTTTTAAAAATTTAAAGTTTCTGACATCATTTTCCACCATTCCATCAATTCTTCCTTCTCTTCTTCTTTCCTTTCAGAAAATGACTCCAGTTCAAAATCAACCTAAAAGAGAAAATCAAGAGCATATTACTATCAAACTGCATGTGTTCTTTTAATTGAAATTTAAAAATAAGGGCAGTTTCAGTATACACTCAATCCAGCCACCTGAATTAAAGCAAATCCTGAAATAAAAATCTCTTGTGATAAATAAAAGATATTTTCAGGGGGAAAAAATTCAAAAGCCTTATGTTTGAAATGTCCTTTGATTTAATGGCTTTGAAGACAGATATAATTCACAAAATTCCTGCCCCAGTCTCTTCTCCTCATAAAAAGATAGAACTGATCGGGCGCGGTGACTCATGTCTGTAATCCCAGCACTTTGGGAGGTCCCAGCGGGCAGATCACAAGGTCAGGAGTTCAAAGCCAGCCTGACCAACATGGTGAAACCCTGTCTCTGCTAAAAATACAGAAATTAGCTGGGCGTGGTGGCACAAGCCTGTAATCCCAGCTACTCAGGAGGCTGAGGAAGGAGAATCTCTTGAACCCGGGAGGCGGAGCTTGCAGTGAGACAAGATCGCGCCACTGCACTCCAGCCTGGCGACGGAGCGAGACTCTGTCTCAAAAAAAAGAAAAGAAAAGAAATTAACTTATAGTTAATTTTCTGCCTTTGGCTATTTAGTAAGCACCTCCTGTCAGCCTTGAATCTTCTCCTAATGTGGGAGGGAATGTGGAAGAGTACAGTTCAGCATGCTGGTATCCCAAACTACATGGTTCTGCTTTCCAGAATCTTGAATCTGTTAAAGAAACTGACAAAAGCAAGTATGTGTCCAAGCCACTCTCTTTGTGAATAGGAATCTTCATCAGGTCTATGGAGAAGCCACACACTCCGCGTAAAAGGCTGTTCAAAGTAGGCCGCCCCCAACCCCAATCCTCTCAGGCCCCATCCCAGATGGAACTACGAGTTTCTTGATTTGGCCACTGAAATGCGTGATTATTTTGGATCGTGATTCCATTCACTATATCCTTGCACTAACACATGCCAGAAAGACAAAGGATCCAAATAGTTGAACCTTTACAACTTGTTCCCGGGGCCATTTCTTCCGGGTTTCAGTTACCCAAATATACCTCTTGATTTTAATACATATACAGCCCAGTGTAGACATGCACACAATCAAAGCCATGTACCAGTTAACAACTCAAGATATTTTGTTTGCAAAAACCAAGAATTTATACTTCAAGTTTTGGGTGGATAAACAAAAATATAATAAATTCTTTTCAAGTAAGCCCTGTAGACTTTCAAGAAATCCTACAGATATTCCCACGGGCCCAGGCATATAATACAAAGGTAGTAGTAAAATTCTTCTCTAAGAGAAATTTTGGTCTTATCACCATCACCTTCCTAACAAACAAATGAGATCTACTTAAATAAGATATGGTTTTTGATAGTACTTAGCACAGACAGCCTTGCACATAGAATACGCTAAATAAATGTTTGGTTAGCACCTAGAATTTTCTTTTACATATCATTTTTTTTCAGATACTTATTGAGAAAGGCATGTGCTAGGTGCTAAAGATAAAAAGGCAAATGAAATATAATCCCATTTAGATGGAAATCAAGGTTAGCAAATAAAAGTTTAATTTTTTAAAGTTTTATTTCATTTTCTTGTAAATCTCTTCAAAAACTGAGAAATGGTAATAGAGCTTCATATTAACTTTGCTAAGCCTCAGTTTTCTCATCTGTTAAGTGGAGATAACAATGCTACCTACCTCACAGGGCTAGTATGAAGATTAAATATAAGTCACTTAAGTATGCCTGACAATGGTAAATGTTTAATTATTATCATAGCGCTTGGCTATTATTATGATTACTTACCCCAACAGCAGGGCTGTAAGGAACTGCCACTTTCTTTGTTATTGCCAGATAGCCTGGAGCTGAGGCTGTAAGTTTATAGTTTCCAGGTATAAGCAATCTCCAGTAATCACCATCCTTTGCTGTAGGAAAGCAGAATATCAAATCACAAAGCACATGACATATGCAGAATTACAAAATGCATAATTATGCCATCTAAGGAATACCCAGTCTAGCTCAGTTCAACTTTTTTGATTCTCGATTTTTAAAGTAAATATGTAGGGAATTTAATGAAATTTTATTGAATAGGGCGTGAAACTCTCTTTACAGGCTTCATTTCTTATACCTACTTTACAGATATCAATGTTAAATTGTCTAATAAACCTCGTACGATCATAGACCTTCTAATCACATCAGGAGCAACACAGGGAAAACGACAGATGAAGTCCCCAAGCAGTGGCGTCAGAACATACAACCATCATGTTTTGACTCTTGCCAGGTGACGACCTGACAGTCAGAGAATCTTCACAGAGTGTGGGCCAAAGGTAGCCCCTGTAGGATTTCTGAGGCCCTAGTTAGAAATATAGATTTCTAAAGACTTAGAATACATTGGGCACCCTAGTCCATTCAATCTCCCATTTGCCTAAATCAGTGATTTTCAAACTTGGGAGCAAACCTGGGAAACTCAGTAAAATGCAAAATCTGATTCCAGCTCCCGGGTTCTGCATTCCTGACCAGCCCCAGGGCAATGCTAAGGTGGCGAGCAGAGGCCACACTTTGATGAGCAAGGTTTTCGTAGATACTTCACACCTTCTTACCTTCTTCTTTTTCCTAACACCCTACACATCCCGTTCATCCTCCCAGTTGATACTTTACATCTTATTTCATTGCAAAAATAGGTACAGTCAAAAAAATTAAGCCCCCATCACCATATCATCAAATCTACCTCTAAATCCACATCTCCTTGCAGCTATTGCCTCCATTGTCTTCTTTGCTTTATAGCAAAATTTCTGGAAAGGTTTGTTCATGTCTCAATCTCAGAATGATTCTTCTCTTATTCTCCCTTGGACCCAGTCCAATCAGGATCCCACCACTCACTCCATTGAACAGATTTTGATAAGATCCTCTGAACTGCTAAATCCAAGGATTCATTCACAAGGTTCATCTTAATTGATGCCTTTTCACTCCCTCCTTCTTGAAGCACTTTAAGGCCTCCAGGACAACACACTGCATTTTCTTTCTACCTTCAGTTCTATTGCTGGTTCCTTCTTATTATCACCTTGCCATTGAAAAGCTGGAGTGTTCTAGAGCCCCTCCTCCGGTTTAATTTCTTTCCACCTGTTTATTCCCTGGTTAGATTTTCCTAAACAGTTCACATCATGGAATGCAGAGAAAATAAAATATTTGTATGACACATTAGGGCTAACAGGTTTCTTGTGGCAGGGATACTAATGCTGGGTTTCACCCTCCCAGCTAAGGGCTAAGGGGCTACATGGGGTAACATCTTGGCACAGATTCTGGCATACTGGCTGGCACCTAGTGGGCTGCTGACAAATGAAGAATGAATGGAGTTTTAGAGGAAAAATGTTAAAGATTTTTTTTTTTTTATCCAAGCTATAAATGTGAAGGTTAAGAAAGAGCTGATGATACAGAGTGGTTTGGGACATAAGTTAAAGGTTAATTGTCACAAGGTCTAAAAAAAGTTGTAAAGAGTTTATAACTAAAAAGAAAAAGCTGTCATTATTGAAAATATCCCAACAAATGACAATTAAAATGACCTGGATCAATGTTTATTAATGGGAGTAGGTAGATTTGCCAGAAAAATAATCATTTTCCTCAAACTGGGAAAATGGAAATTGAGCTCAAAACCTAGAAGTCACTAACATTGCACCTCAATCCTATAAATTCTTGCTTAACCTTGAATCCCTGCGGATTTATTTTATGGATTAAATGAAAAACTGTGTGAGAATTTTTAGACACACAACCCGCAGCAATTTTCTTCCTTCCTCCTCTTTGCGCTCCCTCCTTCGGTCTCCCCATTAGCAGCTCGTTAGCACTTCTTAACACAGACCAGAAAGTCACTGGTATTTTAACTCTGGCAGCTCCTTTTCCTTTGCCTGAAGAACCGCGAAGAATCGGCAGCCTGTGGCACCACCTCCCAGCTCTGGGGCGAGACAGCTGAGGAAAGGGCGCCACCTGCTGCACCCGGATTTGTAACGCAGCAGCCGCCCTGGGCTCCACTCCGCCTGACCTGAGCCCACAAATGAAACTTCACCAGATCAAAGCTCAGAAATGCTGCAGAGATACGAGCTATTTGTTTTGCTCAGAAGAGCATAAGACTTATAATTATGATAATTAGTAATTATGCTGTTGTACATAACGTAGAGCCTCCAGATTGTGGCAAAGACCCACCGGATGTAACATCGTGGTCTATTCCTTCCACGGAGATGGTGGCATTGGCAATTGGGTTACCTTGAAGATCTCGGACAAATCCTTTGACTCCTCGGTGTATCTGTGAAGGTCAAAAACAACCAAAAGTTAATATGACCTATAAATTATAGAAATGGCCTTAAATATGTTTCATATCAAGCATCTCCTTATTTTCCAGCAAATACCGTGGATCCCCATTGTTTAAGAATCAAGACACGCACAAAAGGCCACTGAATTTTTTGTGCATTTTATTCTGCTTTTCCATAAATAGAGAAATGAAAATTAATATCTTATTTGTGTCCAAAAAAAAAAAAAAAGACTTTAGTACCTTCCAAATCATAAAAAACTGTCATATTAAGGGAGGAGACAACCCTCATATTGTCTTATGCCCAATTTCTGCCTCCGAAGAAAGAAGAAATAAAAATTCAAAGGCAGAAATGAAATCCACAGGAAGACAGCCCGGCACCACACCCTGGGCCTGATAAAGATCAACCCCTGACCTAATTGGTTATGTTATCTATACATTACGGACACCGTATGGAAAAGCACTGTGAAAATCCCTGTCCTGTTCTGTTCTGTTCTAATTACCGGTGCATGCAGCCCCCAGTCACATACCCCTGCTTGCTTACTTGATCGTGACCCTCTCACGTGGACTCCCTTAGAGTTGGGAGCTCTTAAGAGGGACAGGAATTGCTTACTCGGGGAGCTTGGTTTTTGAGACGTGAGTCTTGCCAATGCTCCCGGTCAAATAAAGCCCTTCCTTCTTTAACTCCATGTCTGAGGGGTTTGTCTGCAGCTCATCCTGCTACAATATGTGTAAAGTTCTAGTCTTAGCGTATTTCATAACTTACTCTCTTTTAATTTTGGTCATCTATGTATCTGTTATATGGCTACTGTCAATTAACAAGGATATCATAATAAAAGCCATTTAATATTAGCTCATTCTAGATTAAAAAATATATACTGTGACTGCTTTTGCATTAAATCTATTAACATTATTTTGGCTGAAAATAGAGTAGGGAACCTTATAACAAAAAATAGGATGTTGAATTAGGAAGAAGATGGGAGAGCTGCCACTGAGAATAATCCCCCTAAATTAAGTTGTAGTCATCAACTGGCTATTATTTAATACACTGCAAACTACAAAAACTGCTTTTCTCTTTATTTTGGAAAGACAATTCATCGAAGTCAATATGTGTTTGAAGTGACAGAGTCGCTTCAGGTCTTTAAGAAAGTACTGCATCTAAAGTATCAAATGGTAATTCACTAAACTTGATTACTTAACAAAATATGCACCAACCTCCCAAATGCTCAGGTTGTGCCTCACCCAATTGGGCTATAGAAAATAAATTGTCTTTCGTTACTTATGATATTTGACTATTTCCCTACAGCAGAGAGATAAGTCTCCTGTAACCCTTTGTCATCAAAGAATAAATTCGGCAGTGGTACACTGTTTTATCAAAAAGATGTCCCATGTTACCAGCAATATTTTTTGTGTGTGCCATTTTTCTTTAAAAAAGAAACCTCTCACACCCTATAAAAATAACGTGTAATTTTTTTAATGTTGCAAATAGGAAAAGGCTATCCCTGTTGTCAGTAATAATGATCATTTTATTGGCAACCAGTATAGTAAAGAGAGTAAATATATTTTTTAAAAGTTTAAGAGTTATTCAATTCTAACTTTTCTCCATAACTTATTTATGAATCAGACAACCAAAATTGAAAAGAGTTTGAAATTTAGCCACTGAAAAACATGAAACATGAAAACTTAACTTTCTGAATTAAAAGATGAAAAATCAGAAAAAGTGTAGAGAAGAAGAAAAGGGCTATATGTAGAGACCCAAACTCTAAATTTCTTAAAATGATGCCCCATTCAATAAAACTTAGAAAGATGCTAGCTGATAAAAGAGGATTTACCCAAGTACTTTATTCCCCTTGAGGCACTACAATCCTAAAACTATCAATATTATAAGCCTTAAAGAAAGTTTCTAATTTCCACATCATTGTAAAGTAAGTAAATCAATCACTACAAGAACAGATTATTTGCCTGTATTAGGCACAAATATATTCGGTTAATATTCATGGCTTTATTTTTTTCTGCCTCTGCAATCCAAGACTTATATCTCAGTATGCAGTTTAACAAATAGTTAAAGAAGTAAATGTCTGTCTGTGATATGTCAACTTTTCTGTTTGAAAAATTCCAGTGTAGTAATAAATCTCAGTAGAAGTGTATGGACTGTGTCAACTCCCCATGAATTCAGACTGGAAAATTCAGATTGTATGGCTTTTGCAAAAGAAATCATGAAAGTCCAAATTTCACTCATGCCTGGAAGAAGCTGTTTTACTACACTTGTGCTGCCTGCGATGATCACTCCCCAGATTCCAGGACTTCTCAGTTTCAGCGAAGGCTGAAAAAGCATCCAGAAGATTCTCCATTGTTGCTAGGACTGTTTACACCCCCTAAACCCTCATGTACTCCATGTCACACAGAGAGCTTGCTGCAACTGAAGATTCTTGGGTTCTTCCCTGCAGAGAGTGTGATTTAATGGTAGGAGAGGAAACGCATTTTTAATAAGAACTCTAGATGATTCTAACGCAGGTGCCCATGAACCATTCTTTAAGAAATTCTTCGAGAATTTTGAGAACTAGACTGTTCCAAAGCTACTGAGTGGAAGGGAGCTCTTCTCCTTAGCAAACTCTTTAGTCTAATTAGCTTTACAATTCTAGTCCCTGCAAACATCTCTTTAAAACTCTGCAAGGGATTTCCTCTCCAACAGTTACAGAAATAGATCTCCTAATCACCTACTTTCTATGAGTTGTAAACTAGTCCAAGCTTAGATTTTAGGCCCAGGTGTTCAATTACTAATCACCACCATTGTCAAGACAACAATTACAACACAGAACTTCTGGCAGCCCTCACTGATTTTTCATCAGCCTTAGTTTTCCTAAACTGGAGTGTTCTATGATGCAAGCTAGATGAGCTGGTTATAAATACCACTCACTGCTTAGACACAGTTAGCATCATAATGACAACGCCATATCAAGGTAGATCACATGGATCTGTGGACAGAGCAAATTCTTATTCCGAGTAGCATAAAATAGGATTGTATAACTTTATCCTTCTTCTTTTTAGCTTATTTATATATAAATTGATATCGCTGTCAAATGAATTGGATGCATGCCCCCCTGCCACCATAAATATGACAAATCTCCTTTTTCAATATGGTAAGAAGACGTGTTTTATTTGTTTTGTATTTTATTTTTTTTCTCAAGAACTAAGAGATGATTTAAACAGCAGCTAAGGATGTTTCTAAATTGTTGATCAGAGTGATGATCTTATGGGCATCAACTTTAGTAAATCTTATAGCACAGCTCCAAGAAGCCTTTTCCAAACTCCCGTGATTGGGTTAGGTCCCCTTCTGTGCACTGCCATTGCTCCTTGTGGCTAAGCTTTTTTTGTTTTTCAGCCAGCTCTCCTGAGGTATTCTTGTTTCTGACAGCACTCATGTGAAGCCTTCCTGAGGATGGTCACTATCCCCAGTGCCTCACTGAATGCCTGGGATGTGAAACTAGTCAATACATTTTTGTTGAAAAAATACGTATGTAAAATTAAAAGCACTGTATTAAGGAGTATAAATACAAATATTATTAAAAATTTAAATATTATTAAATATTTATTAAAATTAAAAGCACTGTATTTGACATCTAAATGGAGAACACCCCAGTCAGTCCCATCTTACTTCCTCTATCCAAAAACATGCTTTTCGGTTAACTTTGCTCTTAGAAGATCCATCCAAATACAGCTCTCCTCAAAGGAGACGTTCTGTAGGGGTTCCCACCACAGTTGTTCTAGAGTCATCGTGGACTACTTATCCTTAGTTTTTGTGTTGGAAAATACCTTTTTAAGCTAACATGCAGCAGGAATCCATTGATTCAAAAAGAATCCTGTGGAATGTGTTCTTTAATCACCGTCTGACATCAGTGGATGTATTCCATGATAGTATGACAATATATGGATATTTGACATGTGTAAAAGAATTCCTATGCTGATTTTGCTTCTTTTTGTTTGTTTTGTTTGTTTTTGTAGAGCAGCTTTTATTCAAAGGAGGCCGTAGCAAGATATAGAGACCACTGCAACAGGGCCGTGCAATGGTGGAGAAAGAAACTGGATTCAACTCCTCGTTTTACTTTAAAAAAGTGTTGATTATATATATATGTTTATATGTACATATATACATATAAATACTTAAATGTTTATTTAACAGCATTTGTTTATGTCAAATTAGTTTAACAGATCGGTCTGGACTATTTGTTGGCACAGGAAACTAACATCACTCTACTTGACTTTAGGAGTAAATGGCCACATTTAGCATAAAATTTGAAGACTGGCAAAGCCCTGCAGGAACGAACAGTCTTTAGGTCTTCCCACCGCCACTGCCCCTGGTGCCAGTGTCTACATACTATGCAGGGGGTGGGGTTGGCAGGGGACTGGCCTGAGTAGGTGAAAGATTTTATTCTGGCAGATGGTGAGATCCCCCAAAATTCTATATGGATCCCATTGGAATGGCTACGTAAATGGCTCTCTGGTAAAGATCCAGGCTTCTGTTCTGAAAGTCAGCATAGCATGGTGATTCTGGAAATAGCCTGGATTTGGATTCTTGCTAAGCAACTTCAGGTGAGCTGTCTAGTCTCTCTGTGTCTCTGATTCCTCATCTTTAATTTAGTGATGATTATAATGATGATGATGATGATGATGATAACTTCCCTCATAAGGTTGTTGTGGGGATTAGATGCACTAGTTATTACATAAAAGGCATTTAGTATAATGCCTTGGAAATAGTAAATGACCAATAAACATAACTCATTATTATTATTATTACCTGTGATACAGTTGAGTCTAGGGTGAGAAAGATGATGCCTGTATAGCTCAAAACTTAAGGAGACACTCACTCTCAAGTGTTAATCCTGTACTTGCATGTCCCTAAGATTAAAATCCTCCTTAAATTTTCCATTCTAGGTGCCTCGCTTGCCTTACTTTTGTTCTGACTCTGCCTGGGATGCCTCACGGTGATCAGGGTGGAGTCCTAAGATTGCCCTTGCTTAGAATAATACAAACACAAACAAGATTCTACATCTTTTCTCTATACTCTCCAGTTTAGTCAGTTCTTGGTGAATAGTCATGAGCCACAAAACGACAAATAAAAGCCTAACTGAAACACTGCTGACACCTGCCTTCCAAATATGGTGTCCTCATTCTGCACCAGATGGACTCCACTGGACTCCTCTAACAAGACCATTGTATGCCAGGTTTGAATGCTTCTAAACCTTGCATTTTATGCTGGAGACTGTGTTTACCTGCTCAAGGTAGCTAATGAGGGAGTTTTTGTTATCCTCCCAGTAGGTCTTCAGAGTCTCTTCAGGTGGGAACTTCTCACAGCTAAGCTCCACAGTGATCTCAAAACAGTTGCTGCTAAGGTAATTGAAGTCTTGCATCCCTGCCAAAATGCCAAATGGAAAGTCAAAATATGCACAAGGAGCCTAAAACTCTACGCAGGCTAGTCTTCTGAATCAAGAACCAAGTAAAAGGTACACAAACCAGGGCATTTGGGGAGCCTGTGGGAAACCTTAACAGGAATCATCTGCTGTAAGGGATTGAACAACAAAGGTGGGGGCTTGTTAGACCTTAAAAGCACAAACTCACAGGTTCCTAAGCAAAAGCACTTGCTGCTTCAGAGTGCTAATGCGGACATCACCCACCCTCCACACTGCTGGAGTGGGCTTTGGAGAAGACAACAGGGTAAAAGACTTCATCCCTACTGATCTGTTAAAGAAATGCACATCCCTCTAAGTCTACCTTTCTACTGGAGAAGAACTTGGAGCTTCATGTGACATGATCTGTCATACTATATTGTTCCTTAAGCCCAATCAGTATCATAGTGTATTTCTGAGGGATTGGGAGTCTTGGCAATATACTATTGTCAATCAAGAAAAATGATGAGACAAGTCTCAATCGTTTTAGGGGATTTCTTTGCCAAAGTTAAGGATGCGCCCCAGAGACAGGTCTATGCCTTTCTCCGAAGATGATTTTGAGGACCCCAAATTTAAAGGGGAGAGGGTGGGATATTGATAAGCACACAGTTTTCACATAAACAAAAGGGGGCAGAGGAAAAATGTGGGGAATGTGCATTTTACATAAGATAACACAGACAAAATGGGGTAGGGGAGCAATCAGATATGCATTTGTGTCTGGCGGGCTGGGGTGACTGCACCTGTAAAGATAAGCTATCAATTTACATGGCCAAGGTGAAGTTTTAACAGCTCACCAGGAATTTCCTTGTGGGCAAAATATGAGGGAGGCGTGTATCCTTTCATCTTGTAGTTATCTTATTTAGGAACCAAAATGGGGTGGCAGGTTTGTGTGACCCAGTTCCCAGCTTGACTTTTCCCTTTAGCTAAATGAGGTTGAGGTCCCAGAATTTAATTTCCTTTCACACTATATATTAATTCAACAATCCCTGAGTATCTACTACATACAAGATATAATGATAACAATACTTCAAATAGCACCAAAGAGAATAGTCTGCATCCAGAGCAATTTTAATTTAAATCTGACTCAAATTCGTAGTGGATGCTGTTAGTGTCCACCAGATTGCTTTTATGGAGCCAGGGCATCCAGACTCAAACTGCTACAGGTGTTGGCTGTTAGATCTCACAGCTATCCCCCAGCCCTTTTCCAGAGAATTGCTGGTGGGAGCCGGAATCTCCACCTGGCTTGGGAGTTACATCCTCCTATCTCTCCCCCCAATTCCTTCTGGCACCCCACAACCAATGGCTGACCAATATAGAGCCACCAAAGGCTCATCCTTTTCCCTCAAGGGAAGAAAAACCTGCCCCTAATTTATGCTCCAGGCTTCTTCCAATGGCTCAGGCCAAGGCTGGACTTTGCCTGAGACCACACCCCTGTTTAGCTCTATCCCCTTCCTTGCTCTGCTTCCCTCTCTTCCCTACAGGGTGTTTCCTAAAAAGTGCTCCCTTGATAAATTACAAGCATCCAAATCCCTGTCCAGGCTCTGCTTCTAGAAAACCTGACCTAAGACATGAATGTTATTCACTATATACAGAACTGAAGACTAACGGAGCTTCCTTTGACTGTTTAGCTAAATGAGACATAATCATTAACTAATATTATTATTATCGTTAATAATGTTATTATCAGTATTCTACTGATATAGATTACTTTATATTTTGTTGACAATACACTATTTGTTCAAAAAGGAATTCCAAGGAATCATTAAAGTTTTTGTAAAAACTAAAGTATAAAATTACTTCCCATCTGATGTACTAGACATGCTCTAAATCCTAAATTTGACATAGATCATATTTCTGAAGCTATTGGGGGAAAGAGTACTAAGTCTGATCTGGATAAAATGCAAAATATAAATAAAAACAGAATTAACATGTATCAGAAAGAAAAAAATCAGAAAGAATATTTTTCTCAGCACGTAATTCAACAAATTTAAGCATATTAAACACACCAATACCCTACAATTAGCTAATGCTGCTTATTACCCTAACAAATTTTCTTCCTCCAGGTGGGCCACAGAAAATTTTTCTCAGGCAAAGAGAAAAGTAAAAAAATATATAAATATCTTCACATTTCAATCTTCATCCTTGAGTGTTAGTGAAAATAAGAGCTCTGTAAAGTCCGCCTTGGGACAAGGAAGCCAAGGGAGCTGCCTTGGCTACCTAGGAAGGGGCCTCCCCCAGCTACTGTCCCACATGGCAACTGCTTCCTTTTCAAACTAAACAGCGAAAAGCTACCTGATCTCATAGGGATTATTAGAGTAGTGAACATAAACTAAATATTCCATGTCAAATACTCCCCATTATCCCATCATTTAATAAAAGAGAACTGTGCACCAGGTTATGCTAAAAGCCAAAGCAAGCCCTCTAAAATGTATATTTACCTACAGTGAACGAGCATGACTGGCATATACTAAGGATGCCATCTTATTCCCTAAGGCTTGAACTTGAAAAGTAGCGTAATTAACAATATTCAATTTATTATTTTCCCAATGAATGTCTTCAGTTCATTTCCTGTATCTCTTCAATTAGCATCACAATTTTTAAAATTCACAAAAACAAAATTATACATAGTAATCATTCATGCAAAAAGTTGACTTTAATGGAAGAACTATAGATTCAGTCTACTTTTTAATGATGGAGGACGGTAGAAGATTCTCTAAATCTAAATCACTCTCTAAACCTAAACGGTCATTGTAAATAAGCTACAATCACATAGACAGCACAACAGAAACTCACCTCCAGGTACACTGTACCAAGCACCACCATTGGTGGTTCCATCTACAAAGCTGCTGTCATCATCATTCTTGCGACATGGTGGCCGATTGGGGTTAGACATGGCTGGGTTGAAAGAAGAGTATGCCCGGGCCAAGCTTTGGAAAATGGCGTCATCTGGGGAGGAGCTGTATTCATGAGCACTACCTAGAAAACAAATCCACAAGATTAAAGAAACAGACACAGACCAAGCAGCACCGCATGTTTTCTAAAGAGTGATTCAGTGTTGAGTAATTGTATTTTTGATGTATTTTTTAGCTACATAACTATGGGAAGGAGGTAAAAGTTTAAATACTGATTACACTTAGTTTTTAAGTTACAAAACTTCCATTCCTAATACTACAAAGTAGAAATTGGGTAGAATGTACATTCTACTTATGAGTTGAAAGCTTTGCAAGGAAAGGTAATAAAGTCATAGGAAACTAGGCCTGGGAGAATAGGAGGAAGATTTTTATTGTTAAAATTATTAATTTAAAAAACGTACCTATACTAATCTCATACCCACTATGAATCATTCTCATATATACCATTCAATATCTGGTCTTAGATTTTTTTAATCTCCTATATGTATTATAGAAATAAATAACACATTTTGATACACTGTATTCTTATTAATGCATTATAAATTATGCAGGCCTACAAGTTTCCCAATTATCAACAAACCACAAAATCTTTAAATTTATTTAACAATGTTATTTCCCCAAAGATGTTCTTCAACACTCAGTTTCCAGTATCTAAAATTATCATCCCAACAACCCCATTAAAAATTGGGCAAAGGACAAGAACAGACTTTTTTCAAAAGAAGACATACAAGCAGTCAAAATAATTGAAAAAAATGCTCAACATCATTAATCATCGGAGAAATGCAAATTAAAACCACAATATCATAATACATGACTCAAAATGGCTATTATTAAAAAGTCAAAAAATAACAGATGTTGACATGGATTCCCACCAGTGTTGGTGGAATTGTAAATTAATGTAACTTCTATGGGAAACAATACAGAGATTTCTCAAAGAACTAAAAATAGAACTACCATTCAATGTAATAATCCCACTATTGAGCATGTATCCAAAGGAAAAGAAATTATTATATAAAGAAGACATGTGCACTCATATGTTTATGGCAGCACTATTCACAAAAGCAGAGTCATGGATTCTGATTCCAACCTAATTGTTCATCAGTGGTTGATTGGATAAACTATGCAATACTAAGCAGCCATAAAAAAGAATGAAATCATGTATTTTGCAACGACATGGATGGAGCTAGGAGCCATTATCCAAAGTGAAATAATTCAGAAATCAAATACCATATACTCTCACTTATAAGTGGAAGCTAAACAATGCCTGTTCATTGACATAAAAGGTGGAAATAATACGCCCTGGGGGCTCCAAAAGTGGGGAGGATGGGAGGAGGTGAGGGATGAAAAATCACCTATTGGTTTCACTCTTTTGGTGATGGGTACACTAGAAACCCAAACTTCACCGTTATGTAATATATCCATGTAGCAAACCTATACAAGTACCCTGAATCTAAAATTCTAAAAAATAAAATAAAATAATCATCTTGTTTTTACAAAGAGCTAACTCTTCAAAGGCCCCTGAAAATAGATCCAAAGCAGGAAATTCCCTGCAGCAACAAAAATCAAGTTGAAAATATCTATCTGGCCAAAGGTTGCTTTGTCTGAAGCTTAACTAAAACTAGTTAGAGAAAGCCAAAGCACCACTCCCCCTCCCTGACACCACCAGAAATAGTTCCAAAAGGAAAACTGTGTGAACACAATAAGACACATGTAGAGATCCACTGGGGACCTGATCAAGCACCAAGAGGCTGCCCCCATGTTCAAGCCATCTTCTACATGAATCTACAAAACTTCCTTAATCTCTCCACTTTATCAGTGTCCAGGAGTGACCCAAGTTTATGACGTATATTTTCTCCCTTTCTGTTGTCTAGGTACTCTGTCAAGATCACGTTCCTCTTCACCTAAACTATTGAAAAAGTGAGTCCTTTTCTGCCAAATAGATATGCCAACACCACATGAAATGATTAGGAGAGCTTCCTGTTAAACATAGTTCTTTCTTCAGGCAAAAATCACTTAACGTCCACTTCTTTAAAAAAAAAATTACAGAAATCATCCTGTAAACCCTTGTACAGTATTATAAACTTTGAACCAATTAGAGAAGCAGAAAGAATACCTACCACTCCGTGTCTCATCATATGGATAATTGGCCACAAGGTCTCCTCCATGGAGATTGGCAGAGAGCACAAAAGGAATATCCATAATCCAATGAATGACAGCCTTGGTCTCAGGAGCAAGCTGTTCAGATGAGACATTAAAAGGATTATAAATTTAATAATCATTGATATGACCACTTGACAGAAATGACATAGGAAAGGTAAAGGAAAACACTGAAAGCTGGTCATATTTTAACTATTTTGCGGTTGTCCTCGCAGAAAAAATAAAGCTTCCTACAAGAGCAGCATTCCTCATGTCTAACTTTCTCAGATTTATAATAAAAATATTTCAAAAGTGTTTAAATTTCTTTCAAAGTTTTATTTTTGTGGGCTGCCAGTTTTCTTCTCTTTGTAACTTGAAAACCAGCATGCAACTCACAAATTTTGGGACATCGCTGTCTGATCTATAGTGGTTCACACGTTGTTATTATGAATAGTTAAGGATAATACAAGGAGAAGAGAAAATAGTTGAACTGCAGAACAAGATCTGTCCTCTGTGGTGGTTCAAACATGTGGTAAAGTTTATTTCCAAATTTTGCTTATTATTTTCCCAACTTCCCTCAACTACTTCAAACATTTTTCCTATCAAAGAATATTAGGTTGAGTCTCCTTCAGAGTGGACTGTAAAATATGTTTACTTTGGAATGGTCATCTTAAATTTTTAAATAAAGGCAAGTTTCAAGAATTCATGTTAAGTCTTTAGAATGATTCACTGCCCCTCATATCTTGGAAGCAAAACAAAGGAAAAAAGAAATGTATACCAAAGAAATAATGTGGAGCCAAAAGCTTGATACTTTTATGCAATGAGTTTTTAACAGCAACTAGGAAGACTCTCAAACCCCGAGTGCTTCTCTAATGAAAAGAAAAGATTTTACTGGCGACGTGATCCATGCTGTTCTTTGGGACAGAAAATCTAATGACATCAGTAGGGTTTGATGGTTATAAGATCTCATATTTGTATAGCTGTGCTCAGTTTATGAATAGCTCTCACATGAACTATTTTACTGCACTTCAATATTTGCATTGGATATGCAAAGATATTCATACCCATTTCACAAGGAGGAATCTGAGAGCTGGGCGTGTTAAATAGCATATCTAAGTTCACACAGCTAAGAGTTCACATCCAGTGAACCATAAGGCTCATGCTGTTTTTAGTGTATCAGCTTTAGTCTATTAAAATTATCCTATTTTCACATAAGCTACTCTTAACTGTGTAAAAGTGTGATTTAGAGTAGGAGGTTGTTTTTATTATTTTTCATTTGGTTGGTAGATCTTATTTTTGCTTAAAAAAAAATCATTGTAGAAAATGTAGAGGAGACAGACAAGAACAAAGAAGAAAATTTAAATTACCCATCATTTTACCACCTAAAGATACCCACTACTAACATTTGTATAGATCTCTTTCTCATTCTTTTCCCAATGTATTTATATAATTTTTAAATGTGATCATTTATATACCATTTTATATACTGCTTTTTTTTTGCTTGACAACAGATAATGAACACCTTTTCATGTTATTAAATACCCTTCTAAAATGATATTTTAATGGCTGAGTGGTAGCCAATGTCTGGATATAACATTTTTAAATACTAATAAAATGATAGCTAATACTTATTAAACACTTTCTGTGTCAGGCATGGAATTCTCCCATTCACTCTATGAAACAGGGACTACATTTTCCCCCATCTGAGAGATTAATAAACTGAGATGTAGAGAAGTTACGGAACAGCATGAGGCCACTCAGCTGGGAGTGTCAGAGGCTGGACTCGAGCCCAGCCAGGCCAGCTCCACAGCCACTACACTAGTACTAGTAATCTCTAAGTGGTGATACTCGGTCATTTATATTTTAAAAATTAAAAATACTGTGGACACCTTTGTAGCTACTATTTGTGCAAATCTGTACTTTCCTTAGAGAAATCTCTAGAAACTGAATGACTTGACCACAAGTTAAGCACATTTTTAGCTAAAAATGTTTAAATTAAAATTTGTATTAGCTAAAACTGTCTACATTTAAAAATGTATTCCAAACTGCATTCTTGTAAGGTACAGGAATATAACCAGCAACAGTATCATAAACTTTCCATTTCTAATTTTTTTAAAACAATGGAATTATTATGTGTTTTAAAGTGTGTCACTTTGATTAATGACAAATGGAATTTTTTAAGTTTGCATTATTTTAATTAACCAATAAAACTAGAACAGTTTTTTATGTTTAGTGATTATTTCTATTTATTCTTCCGTGACATATTTGTACAGTTTAACTAATTTTTCTATTGAAATGCATAGCTTTTCTTAGTGACTTGCAACAGTTGTTTAGAAAAAAAATTAGCTCGCTATTACACACTATAAATATTTTCCAAGTGTGTCATGTGCCTTTCAAATTTTGTAATTAAAATCCAGAACATTAAGATATTTATGTTAAGCACATAATGGCAAACCTATTGATCTTTTCTTTATGGTCTCTTTGCTTTTCCATTTCATTCATTCATTCAATAAATATTAAGTGTCCACTATGTACTAGTGTCTATACAAGAAATTTAGAAAGTTCTATCCCCCTCTAAACATTATATACCAAAGTTTTCTAGTTTCATACTTTTTAAACTTAAATGGTAGTGTCTAGAATTTATTTTGATCTATGCTGATATTTATGAGATGGATTTGTCTCAATTCCATTTATTCAACAATGCATTCTTTCCACAGGGATCTGAAATACACTCTTATTATATGTTGATTTAAATCAACCTAAAAATAACTAATATGGGAGATGACATCAAAATATTCTATAATGCATATACGTTTTAAGCGAATTTATGTTTTTACACCCAATTGCTAAGATGACATTAACATTAAATGAGATGAGTTTAACACACTCTTCTATAATATTCTGTTCCAAAGTTTTTCTTTTACTACTAAATTTATTTTCAGTCCTCTTCTTCTTTGTACATCTCTCATTCCCTCTATTTTCTTTAACCCAATGACAGATATTGACAGATATTCATATTTCAATAAGTTCAGAAGGGGCAAGGTGTGGTTTGGAGAATCATTGAGGACTTCAGGAAGGAGGTGGAACCTCACCAAGTCTAGGGACGAAAAGAGAGAAATGAGTGGTAAAAATAAAGAAGTTGGGAGTACCCGTGGCCCATCTGTTGGGGGTAAGGAAAATACTCTTTGGGAGGGAGGGTTGGTTTTACTGGGAGTTAGGAGGCAAAGCCATGCCAAGGCAGACTGTATTCCTGTGTTTATTATCCACCTAAAAGTGTTCAGAATGGCTTGCACAGTGTGCACCATATATTTATAGGTTGATACAGTCATAAAAATAGTATTGAAAAATACATATCAAAATGTTAATGGTGCTCACTGAAGATTGTTGTGTAATGGATTCTTCTTTCTCCTTATTTGTATGTTTTAATTTTTGTAATAAAAATGAATTTTGCAATAGAAAACTTTTAGAAGAAACTGCTGTTGAAACAAATTGAAAGATACAGTCCTAAATACACAAAATTGTGTGAAGCTATCAGGTTTAGCCTATTACTAGTTCTTACATCATACACTATTGTTTATATGCATGTTACCAGTATGTTCAAAAGCAAGCAAGTAACTTCTACAATTTGATAAATTCAACTAAGTTTCCCTTTGACTATTAACAGAATCTTTTAGGCTGACTAAATCCTGAGACCCCTGTGTACTATAATTATATATTTAACTGACCCACAGAGAAGACTTCAGAGTACCTTTAAAATTGAGTCTTTAATAGAAGCTAGAAACAACTGTGGCCTTTCTTTAAACTTTCCACTTAAAGATTATAAATACAGCTCAAATATGATGCTCTGTAATAAGATGTCTTTGGTTCTTATATTATGATGAAACGCTATTCAGTTTTCTTCACAACTCTAGCTATTAAAGTCAGAGTAAACAATAAATGGCTGGATATATTTTAATTGACTCTGCTTTCAGACCAAGGCTCATATACTGAGCCCAGATAACACTGGAGGTGGCCAGGCTGAAGGGCTCAAGAGCAGATGACAAACGACTTAGAGAAAGAATTCTGGGAGAGCAAGAGAGAGCTTTTATTCAGAGAGGTTCAGAAGAACCAGGAGAGCACGGATCTCGAGCAAGTGGACGTGTCTCAGGTACCTCCAGCATCTAGAGGGCTTTATAAGAATGAAGTTCCTTCCCACCACCCCCTCCTGAAGCACACACACCCCAGGCCTGGATCAGCCCACATGGGAATATGAATTTCTTTTTTTTTTTTTCTCACAACTATACAAAGGAGGAGGAATCTGCATTTCTAAGCGCTGATTCCCTGTTCCACCAAACAGAAGAATATATCTTGACATTTAAGAACCTCTATAAGGGATACAAATACAGATAATAGGCTGAGAAGGGGAAGAGGGTAGAGGAATGTATAATAACAGTAATGAAATGCCTACTATATCTTTTGTACCATGCTGGATCAAAACACTGTCTCATACTTATGGACAAAAATGGAAAAAGGCGATGAACCAGACACAGGCAATATCACCCCATGATGATGAAGTAAGTTTACTAAAGATTTAGTGTAAACTAACCTTGCTTATGTTACAAAAAGGGACTAGTCCTTAATTTTCATGTATTTCTCTTTAATTTACCTTTATGAAAAGAAGTCACATTGAGTTTGTTTTAAATAAAAGCTCTTATTAAAAGATAGTACCATGAACATGCCTCTTTTAAACAAGTGTTGCCTAAGCTAGAAATACAAAAACATCTAATATAGAGATTATGCAAATATTCAGGTTCAGCTGGGGAAGGAGAAGGTAGTGCTGGCTAGAAGTAACGGTGCTTGCACAAAGTTGACAATCAAATATCCTGTCAACATGAGTTGATTTCACCATTTTTCTATGATAGGTGGAAGGAATTATTTTCTTCATTTCTCAGATTTAACAGAGACAGCACAGGCAAGTCAATGCAAGCAATGGGGAAAGCTTGTAGGCTAATATGGGGCCTCCGCTTCCAGAAGTTTTCTGTTTCTGTCTCAGCCCCCATGGTTTATTACACAGGACGGCCCTCTTTTACCTGGGGTTAACCCAGTCTGCCGCCTTTCCG